GTGCCGTGCCGCGTAAACGTGCCGTGCCGCCAGGCGACCGGCCAAAACCCCCTCTGGGCTGTTCGCTCGGTCCGGAGACCTTCACCGTATGTGAGGCCTCCGCTGTTGGCCGCCAGCTGCACGCACCGCTGTGCAGCAGCTCGGTGCGCCCTGCACGCAGGCGGTTGCCGGCGAGATGCTCCAGTGAAACATCCTTCGTCGTAGCCGCCGCCTTGGCAAAATCCTTCCAGCTCCTTCCTCCCTTACCTCTGTTCCGTCACTCCTCCTCCGACCTCTTTCAAACTCCACACTCGTGTGCTCAGCTGTCGCCCAGGCCGGCCACGTGGTGTGTACGTATCCAGCTTCTGGGCACGACGACGACATCTTCCTGGCACGACGACGACAGCGGCCGACGACGACGACGAGGCTGCCTGGCATGAAAGAAAACCGGGTCCTGAGATGAACGGGTCCTCGAGCCCAGACCCCCCACGTCATTATCCATGACGTCGACCCCCATAGTAATCGGCCCCTTCCCAACGACTGGTTACGGTCCCGGGGCCAAGCCAAGGTCCCCAAAGGCCGGAAATAGCCAAAAACGCCTGTCGTGATGTTTTCATGACTTGAGTGGGTGTGGGACCCCGGGTCCTTCCCCCAGGACACTCTTGCTCGTCATGTGATACTTCTTGGCAGTCCTGGGGCCCTCGGACGGCCCCGGAGGCCCAAGAGCTACGAAGCACCTGGGACCCGCTCCCCTTAGGACCCGTTCCCAGACCCCCGACGTCGTGACTTTTTCGCAGCCTGCACCCCTTGGGATCTGGACCCCTTCCCTCGGACCGGCCTGTCACCCTGGGTTATAAGTATTTTCGACGTTCCCAGGCCCTGGCGAGGGCCCCCAGAAGCAGAAGATAGCAATACCCAAACATTCCGTCGTCATTTGTCCACAGCCCGAGGGGGTCTGGGGGTCCTTCACGCCTAGGTTGGCGCCAGCGGCGCGGCGAAACCAAGGCGGAGGTGGCCTCCCCAGCTCCTCCACCGCCTGCCGGACCTGCCGCTGCTCTGCGTCGAGCCTGCGATGGTACAGGGGCCATCTGACTTCCATGCCAACAGCCGGACACGTGCGACGAGCACAACCAATGCCACGACCGTTGGCTGCACTGCCTCTTTCCTTCCTCCCTCTCCTCCCCTGAGATCGTACGTTGTGGACGCATTACTCGGCGGTGGACAAACCGCCCTTTAGTACACCTCCCCTTAGTGAAAACGGCCTGGGACCGAAACCGACGGACCTGGACCCGCACAAAATGACGGCCGCGACGCCCCCTCTTGCGAGCCGAAAGCGGCCAATCCCTTAATCGACGTGTCAGGGTAGGAGGTCTGTCCGCCCCCGAATTGCGGCGTCGCGTGGAATCACGACCAGGGCCCTGGGCCCCACCTATTCCGCGCTGCACCCTCCGACCCAGCCGCGTGAGCCCCAGGGCCCGACACCGGGCGGAACCGCCTGGCGTGAAAACCTGCAGCGCCCAGGTCGGAGGGCCGTCTCCGAAGGGGCCCACGAGCACACAAATGAATACATACGAATAACAGGATTCCCCATGTTCCCCATAAGTTCTGGGTTCTTGTCTTGCCCCCCCACTTCCCCCATCACTTCCCCTATGTTCCCATATCTTCTGGGGAATCGACGATTCATTGCGTCTGTGTGTTTTTTGCCCTCCCGAGCCTCCTCCTACTGGCCCGCTGCTCCCTTGAGTGCCTTTCGACAGAAATATCCACCCGATCAACGTGAGATCAAGATGGCGAGCGGGAATGAGATCGAAGATCACGGCAGGAAATATTAGAGCTCTAACGAATTGCTGAATTTTGAGAACAACATTTTCAACTGACCCAAAGTAATTAGACAAAACTTCCGTCGAGATCTTTCGAGCCCCCGATCCCTCTGCGAGCGCTCCTGCACGCACAAGACTTCGCTCGGGGATCTTCTGACCCGGGTCAATCCAGACCCGGGTCAACAGGAAACCAAACACTGCAATGCAGGAACATACAAACTGCAGCGCAGGTCTTCGCACACCCGGGTCAGCCAATGGGCGCGGCCGCCTCGCGGCCACGAGCGGCTCGCTGACCCAGGTCAGCCAGAGGGGGTCTTCGCAGGATCCTGCAAGATCCGGTGCCCTGGTTGACCCCCGTCTGCATTGACCCCCGTCTCTTGGTGGCCCCCAAACCAGGTGGTGAGACACCCGGTGGTGACCTGAAATCCCAAAAACGAAATTCTAGGTTCGGGGGCACATGGTCACCACCGGGTTTCGTGATTCCCGGGACCACCCGCGCTCGAGACATCCTCGAAACACCACCCGAGTTCCAAAGTCCGGTGGTGACACCAATTCGCCCCAGACTCACCACCGGGTGTTCTCACCACCACGTTTGGGGACCCCCGAATCTCGAGGCTCCCGATTCGCAGCCGGGGTGCGCACTCCGGGCGCGCCCGGCCGGCCTGCCTCCGCGGCCTCGCCGCGGCCCGGGCCCGACCCCCCTGGGGGTCGGGCGAGCGGCTCGCTCCCCGGGTGGCACGGCTCGTCCTCCCCGGTGGTTTCGGGCCGGGCGAGAGGGGGGGATGGCCAAGGGGGGCCCAGACCTCCGACGCCGGGAGAGCCTCACGGCGCAGGTTTTGGACCATGTTCGGCCTCGGGAGGCCCTCGCCGGGCCTCGGGAGCGTCAACAAACGGCTCGGGATGAAAAGCCGGTCCCAGGGAAGGTCTCCAGACTTCGGGGGGCCGACGTCGTGAGTTTCTCACGACGTCGGGGGTCTGGGGGGGTTGAGAATCAGCTCACGCAGCTGATTTTCGCAGCGCCTCCCGGCGCCACAGGCGCCCATGTATCGAGGAATGGGCCCCTTCGGTGGGGCCGAAACCACCTGCAGGCAGCAGATTGCGCAGTCCCCCCTTTCCCAATCCCCCCCTTTCGTCCGGCCCGATTGTTCGACTCGTTCCCCGGCGGAAGTAACGCCGATTTGAAAGAACTCGTTCCCCAGCGGAGGTCATAATTGAAACCGTTTTGTCAAGATGTCGTAGCGACCATAAACACCCCCAGATCGGCGGGATCGGCGGATGCAGCCTCAGACCCCCTCGCGTCCTGACAAAAATCGGGACGGGAGGCTGTTCGCGACTTTCGGCATCAGGTTGGAGCGATGGGGGCAGCCCAAATGGGGGAGGCGGGGCGAGGTGCAGCAGTTCGTGGACACTACTTAGTGCTGCTCAGCTACTGCTGGGGGGTGCGAACTATTGCACGGGGCGGATAAGATTGCGTGTGAAAGAACGCGGAATTGCCATCCACGCTCATCGATTGCGCCCAGACCGCAAACTGATGCATCCATGCCTCACCTGTTGTGCGTATTGCACCTCCACTGGCCCCACCATCTGCGCCTCCCCACTGCTGTGGCTTAGGGCCCTCGCCGGGCCCAGGGATCGTCACAAAACGACTCCGAATGAGAAGCCGATCCCGAGGAAGGGGTCGAGACATGGGAAGCCAAGCTGTTAAAAATCGCGACATCGAGGGCCCTTTCCTGTAGACTCCAGCGAAAGGCAAATTCGCTTGCATGCCTTCCCCCCCCAATGGTAACCCTCAGAGAAAAACAAGTCCTCCGACGGCCTTCCGAAGGCCTCCCGACGACGACATTGACCGTTAGCCTGCGCAGGTCCTCCCTCGACGACGCTAGGCCCTCCCGAGGTCCGTCATGAGCACATTGTTATCCTGGATCGCGTTCCGACGGCCCCGGGGCCCGAAAATAGACACCCAAACAAGACAAGACAAGACAAGAAACCCGTGCACACACGAAGGATGCGTGGGCAGAAAACGAATTGAAACAGTTGCCAGAGCGTGGCATGCACGCTTAGAATGAAGTTGGATCGGCCACAGCTGCAGTGCAAGTCTGCGAATATCGGCTGGCAGCATCACATCAACGCATCCGTAACCACAGGCGGCCGCCGCTGGGGGTTACATGTTACATGTAACCGGCAGCGCCCAGGGATTCCATGTGACTGGGACGCCAGGGGAAGAGGAGGACGAGGAGGAGGAGGAGGAGGTGGAGGAGGGGGAGGAGGGAGGAGGGGAGAGGATGGACACAAACAAAGCTTCAGATACTAAGATGTTCAAGACTATATGCGGATTGTGCCCATTAATGTGTAGGTCTTTCTCTGCGCCGGCGGGGGCCAAATTCTTGGGCGTGCCGTCTGCGTTGCGCACCACTTGACTTACAAATGAACTGTCTGCGTGAGAAGCAAATATGTTACATAGCTTCACTTGGCGATCACATGTTATTTGCAAAACATGGTTTGGATCCTGCCAGCGCGCACGGTGTCATATTCTATTCTCGACAACTAACTAATGAGGGATATCAAATCTCTTCCGCACACAACTGCATTCGAAAGCGTCCAGCCTTGTACTACCAGCCTTTGGCAGCCGCAAAGAAACCAAGGAGTAGGAGTAAAGTGATCTTGCTACGCACGAAACTGGTGTAGATTTGCATCTTCCTTGCCCTGCTCATTGCAACATGCTCCCACATGTTGTGCAACTGTCGCAATGAACCTCTCCCTTCGCCCAGTCGCCGGCTTGAGTAGTTTCGCCCTCGCACTCCGTGCATGATCAAACCTCCCAAATCTGCTGCCTCTGTTGCGCTCTCCCCCAGCCGGTCTCGGCACCAAGCTGTTTGACGACGCCGGCATCTGCACGCCAGGCTGTCTGGCATGCGCCCCCAGAGCCAGACCCCCGATGTCATGATTCCGTCAAGACGCGGACCCCCACCGGGACCGAATTGCCATCCTGAGTCGTTTTTCAAAATAGGTCCCGCGGCCCGGTGAGGGCCCCAGAGGCCGAAAACAACGAAGAGCCTCCCGTCGTGGCTGCTTCGTGACTCGAGGGGGTAATTATTGGGAAGCCGAGCGGGGCCAACGCAGAGGAGCAAACGAGAGCATAACCTCCGCGCGGATTTCTTGGATCGGCGCTGGACCCCCACTCCTCCAGCGCGCGGAGCGCGCCAGCAGGGGCGGCGCTGGAGGAGGGGGGGCCCAAGGCCGAGCCAAGAAGACATCCGCGAGGACCTCCGAGGAATCACGCACAGATTATTGTTTTGTGCACCGCGCGCAGACCCTTCGAACATGGAGCCTCGAGCTTCCATCGAGCGATCGCTCGCAGACGACGGCGTCGGAGCTCCGCGGCGGCCGGCGGTGCCGTGGTGGCCGCAGCTCCGAGGCGGATCGGGGCGCGGCGACGCGAGGCCCCCCAGGGGTGGAGGAGGAGGAGGAGGAGGAGGAGGCGGAGGAGGAGGAGGAGGAGGAGGGGGGGGAGGGGGAGGGGGAGGGGGAGGGGGGCGAGGGCCGGCTCCTGGGGGGTGGGGAGAAGCAGCGAGCCGGAATCTGCAATACCTCGCCGACGGGTCGGCGATGGGGCCCCCGGCTGCGAGCCCGAACGATCCTGTGTGGGGTGAGCGACAGCGGGCCGCCGCCGACGATCCATGGGCGATGGCGGGTCGACGCATCCCCCCCTGAGCCTATTTCCCCCCCCCCCCCGAACTCTGCCCCAGAAGTGTGGCCGAGCCCTCAAGCCCTGGGTCCCTTGGCGCAGGCCTCTCTTGGATGGGGGCGCTCCAACCTCCGCTCGGCTCCGCGGGCGCAGGTCGCCCTCGCCTCTGCCTCCCCCGAGATCCACCGCCACGACAAAACCGCAACATCGTAAGATCCTCGACGGGAGCCCTGGGCCCCATCTTCCTGCGGCACTCTTCGATCCTGGTCCATCCATGAGGGCCCCCGGGGCCTGAAAACAGGGCAGAATCGCTCGCTGCGGAAAAAGATGCGACGCCATGATCTCGAGGTCCTGAACCTACTCCAAGTCCCTTCTCAATCGTCCCCCAGGTCTGGTTTTTAAGGCCTCTTTTTTGTAGCTGGGGGGGGGTCTGGTTTATTAGGGCGCTTTCTTTGGATTGGAGCTCAGGGGGTCCTGTTTATGTTGGCGCCCCGTCGAAGAAGGGGGTCCGAAATATCAGGTCGCATTTGGAGGGGGGTTCGGTTTCTTGGGGGGGCGATTATTAAGGGATCTGGGGTGCTCACCCCCCCCATGTTGCCTCTCATCTTCGGCCCCTCGACTGTTGCAGCTCCACGGCGGCCAGCGCAGCCACAGGACGACGTCGCCGCCGGGTTTCGGAGGTCCGCGCGGAGTTCTTGGATCGGCGCTGGACCCCTCCGTGGCGCGCGGAGCGCGCCCAGGGCGGCGCTGGAGGCGCCGCCCTTGGGAGCTCGGCGCCGATCCGAGAAACTCGCGCGAAGCTCCAAACATTTACGGACGGGGAATTTCTGGCCTGGCGTGTCGCGGCGGCGGCCCCGACGACACGCTCTCTATGCCCTGCGAGCGGACAGCGTGCGGCTCCGCCCAGCGGGGCGGGGGGCCCGGCGAGAGGCCCGGCATACTGCTCGGGGCGTCGGGGGCCGGGCCGTGGACAGCGCGTCGCGCCGCAGCGTGCTGGGCCAGAGCTGGCGCAGCGACACGCCAAGCAAACGCTCTGGACCGTAGAACTGTGGGCGTGGGCCCCCGATCTTTTGAAGGGGCCCTATGACACACAAATAAATAAAAGGAATCCCTATATTTTCCCCGTATTTTCTAGGTTTCTGTCTTCCCCCCCACTTCCCATATTTTCCAATCTTTTCTGGGGAATCGACGATTAATTGTGTCTGTGTGTTTTTTCCCCTCCTGATCTTGGACGCCCGACGTGGGTACGGAAAGAATGGGTAATTACGATGCCCAACAGCAGTTCCTCTTCATCCTGAACAGGACTCGCTGTCGGTGTCGCCGCGGCCTGTGTCCATTCGAGACAGAAGGCCGCCTGCTGAACAGCGGCCGCTGTTGGTTTGGGACAACATCTGTTGTTGGGCATTGTACCCATTTCGGTCGTCCAGACGATCGATCGTTGGAGTCAGCCCGGCGGCCGGCGCAGCCGCAGGACGACGTCGCCCACGCGCTCGGAGAGGTTGGCCCCCGCGACGCTGGCCTCGGCGGGGAGGACATCCTGCGGCCAGCCGCTGGGTGATGCCTCCGACGTCGTCGCCGCCGCTCGCGGCCACCGCCGCCGATCGGCCTTTCGAGGCCCTGCGACCTTGCGGTTCGATCGACCGATGGATCAAGGATCGATCGATTGACCGATGGCACACGAATGGTCGATCGATTGAGGCGCCCGCCCCCGATGGACCGATCGGCCCTCCCCTCCGCACCTCCCTGCACTCCCGCCGCCCCCTCTGCAACCGGATCCGCCGCTCCTGGCCCCGTCCTCCCCCATGCCTCGCCTCGCTCTCTCTCTCTCTCTCTCTCTCTCTCTCTCTCCCCCTCCCTCTCTCTCTCCCTCTCCCTCTCCCTCTCTCTCTCCGCCCTCATCCCCTCGTCCCCACCATCTTCCTCCCCCTCCTCCTCCTCCTCCTCCTCCTCCTCCTCCTCCTCCTCCTCCTCCTGCCCGCCCGTCTCCTCCCCCCCCCCTCCCGCCGCCCTCCCCCCTCCCCTCCTGGGCCGGCCTGCCGGAAAGGGGGGAGGAGGAGGAGGGGGAAGAGGCAGCAGGCGGAGCCAGGCGCCACGACTTGTCGAGACGTGGGCCCCCAGAGGCCTCGACCCATTCCCCAGGCTCGTGGAGACGTGAGGCTCGGGCACGGAAGACTCGGGTTGGCCTGACGGGCCCATCGTACAAATGGCCAGACCCAATCTGAAACTTGACGCGAGCTCCACGAAAACTGGCCCGTCAAAATAATCCAGGACGCGCTCGTCAGAAAATGTCGGCCAACCCGAGTTCCGGCTTACTCGAGTCTTACGTCTCCCCGACAGGACCAGTTTGTCATCCTGTGCCGTTCTCCGAAGGCCACGAAGCCCGGCGAGGGCCAGAAGAGGCCAAGAGTAACTAGCGAGACGCCCGCCGCAATGCGTTTGCCATGACTCGAGGGGGTCCGGGGAGGAGAGAGACGAGCAGAGAGAAGGAGGAGGCGGAGGAGGAGGAGGAGGAGGAGGAGGAGGAGGAGGAGGAGGGGGAGGAGGGTGGAGGAGGTGGAGGAGGAGGTGGAGGAGGAGGAGGGAGGAGGGAGGAGAGGAGGGGAGGAGGGAGAGGAGGAGGAGGAGGGAAGGAGGAGGAGGGGATCAGAGACGGAGGGGCCCCCGTCACAGCTCACGGAGTTGGGGGTGGGGCCGCTCGGCTGCCCCCGAGCCCAGGGACGGGGGCAACGGAGGAGGCCAGACGCTGCGAGCATCCGACCCAGGCAAAGTCATTCCGATCTGCGAGAATCCGATCCCTCCCCCTCCCCTCCTCCTCCTCCTCCCTCTCCTCCTCCTCCCCCTCCTCCTCCTCCTCCTCCTCCTCCTCCCTCCTCCCCCCTCCCCCTCCCTTCCCCCCCCCTCCTCCTCCTCCTCCTCCTCCTCCTCCTTCCTCCTCCTCCTCCTCCTCCTCCTCCTCGTCCTCCTCCTCGTCCTCCTCCTCCCTCCTCCCCCTCCCCCTCCCTCCTCCTCCTCCGCCTCCTCCTCCTCCTCCTCCTCCTCCTCCTCCTCCACCTCCTTGCCCCAGAGGAGTTACGTTGCTGTTCATAACGTCTCGACCCATTCTCCAGGACCCGCTTTTCATCCTGAACATTTTCTGTGTCCCTCAATAGTGTTGGGTCCCCAGACTACTGATACCCTCTGGACTACAGGTACCCCCTCCCCGGACTACACAGGTACATACCCCCCCCGGACTACAGGTATCCCCCCCCGCTCTTACGTACCCCCCCCCCACCGGACTATACAAGTACCCGCCCCGGACTACAGGTACACCCCCCCTGGACTACAGGACCCCCCTGAATTCGTATACTTTGACGAACAACATGCGCGCCCCCCCCCCCCCCGCGGACTGTGACTACAGGTACCCCCGCGAGGCCCCACCACCCCCGGACTACAGGAATCCCCCCCCCAGACTACAGGTATCCCCCCCCGGACTACAGGTACCCCCCCCCCGGACTACAGGTCCCCCCCCCCCGACTACAAGTACCCCTCCCCCGGACTACAGGTACCCCTCCCCTGGACTACAGGTACCCGCAAGACTATTGAGGGACACCCCCGAGGCCCGGCAAGGTCCCCCAGGGCCCGAAAGCTGCGAACAACACTCCCGTCGTGACTTCTGCCGTGACCCGATGGGGGTCGAGGACGGAGGCAAAGGCAGGGGCATGCCGCAGGAGCCGGAGGAGGAGGTGCGGAGGAGCGGAGACGGAGCAGGTGGAAGACGAGGCCCGCACGGCCGCCCCCGCGGCGACGGCCGCCGCGGACGCGTCTGGGCTGGTCAGCTGGCCCAGGCGGCCGTCGATCCGCCGGAGCCTGCCCCGCCAGCGTGGTCGTCGTCGTGGTCGTCGGCGTCGTCGTCGTCGCCGTCGTCGTGGCCGTGGTCGTCTCGCCGTCGCCGCCGCCTCGTCGCCGGCGTCATCGCCGCCGTCGTCGTCGCCGCCGCCGTCGCCGTCGTCGTCGTCGTCGTCGTCGTCGTCGTCGTCGTCGTCATCTCGCCGTCGCCCCGTCGCCCTCGTTGTCGTCGTCGTCGTCGCCGCCGCCGCCGTCGTCGTCGTCGCCGTTGTCCTTGTCGCAATCGTCGTCGTCGTCGTCGTCGCCCGCGAGGCGCGGCCCGTCGCCGCGGGGCGGCGCTGAGCCTGCGGCGGCGGCGAGGGCGGAGACGGAGACGAGCTCAGCTCTCCGACGCCCTTTATCGATGTCCAGTCGCGCGGCGCTTCCTCGGGTGCGTCAGGGTCACGTCAAAAGCCACCCCGCTCGCACGAGGGAGGGGCCCCCAAAAGGGCGCGAGGGGAAGCTCAGGTGCCCGTGCGCTGCGGGTGTAGGAGAAAAGCTGGGTGAAACATCAGCTCTCGTCGTGCCGTGAGGCCGTCCGCCCCGAAGTGGGGTCATGCAGAAACCGAGGAGCCGAAGTCAGGGAGGAGGACAGGGGCGTGATCTTGATTTCCGATTCTCTCCGCGCAGCGGTCGTTACCTGGAGGGGGGAACGAGGGCGCCAGGTAACGGTAACGCTTGGAACTTGGGCGGGGTGCGGAACCTGCGCGATGCCTGCGAGCACCGCCGGGGCGCCTGCGAGCACTGGGAGCTCCCCCGAAACGTACGACCGCTACCGTAACGTACGGGGGGGGGGCGGGTTCCGGGGGGGGGGGGGGGCAGGATCCTCGCGGCTCGGGCCGGCTCTGTGCAGGCCGCGGGAGGACGGGGTCCACGGCGCCGGCCGCGGTCTTCGCATAGGATGCTGTATTTTTCGGGGCGTCGGATCTTGGGGAGGGGGGGCGATGGAGGGCAAGAGGAGGAGGAAGGAGGAGGAGGAGGGATCGATTGTCGAGTCAGCGTGGTCGCTTTTCATTTTTTACCGGGCCTTCAGGAGACCCCGTCGTCGCCACGGATGGATCCGCCTAAGGGTGCGTCCAAGAGGGGGAATCGCAAGACACAGCCCGAGGGTGCGGCCCAGGGGGGGGGGCGGAGACGTGCTGAAACAAGGCAAGGAGACAACGAGATCTGGTGAGAGGTCAATAGTCATCACCCTCCTCTTGGCCGCCCCCAGTGATACCTCATGTCGGACTCCGGAGACCGCTCTTCTTCGGGCCTCGGGGCGATCCGAGCGCAAAGCTGCCCACGACAGGCATAATCACCTGGAGCCGCGGATTGGGTACTCACATCGGGGGACGCCCCCAGACATCCGGTTGCTCCGATTTTTTCGATGCGTTGGCCCCTGAGGTCTGGACCACTTCCATGGGGCTGGTGTTTCGTACCGAGTCGTTTTCTTGACGGTCCAGAAATTCCAGAAGCCCGCTGACGGCACCCAAAGGCCGAAAATATACCCGATCTGGCCGCTCCATTCTTTTTGTCCGGAGGTCTGGACCACTTCCCTAAGGCCGGTCTTCCGTGCGGAGTCGCATTTTTGGACGGTGCCCAAAAGCCCGCGGAGGGCACACTCAGGCCGAAAAGAGCCCTAGACTGGGAGGCGGAAGAACCCCCCAGACGTCCACCGTCTTGACAACAAGTTCAAGGCGGCATGCGTGCTCAGTCTTCGGCCGAAGTGGGCTGCTCTCCAGTCCTGGGGTCGTCGAAGGATTCGGGCACGCGCGAACACAGACTAGGAATCTGTGGATATGGCGCCTGGGCGCGAGATCCACGCCAATGAGGTCTGAAAGCGGGACCCAATGCACACTCCTCAATCCATGCTAGCGTCTCCTCGAAAGATGGCACGGGATGAACAGCCAGTCGCAAGGAGGGCGTCGGGACCCCCAAGTCCGCAATGACGGACATCAAGACGTCGGGTGTCTCGCGAACAGGCGCGCCGGGAATCCATACTTCAGTCACGGGGCAACGTGTTTCAATGAACCACCTTATCGATATGCCAGCCGAAAAGATAAGGCAAGGCCTCGTGCCCAAGGGGGAATGCTCCACCATGAAGAAAATGTAGTGTGTCATTTCTGCTGCGCCTGCGGGACGAAGAACGCATCATGCTCTGGGGAGCACAGCGGACTCGCCACCCACCCGCTTGCGGACGCCGCCTAGAGGAAGGGGAGGAGGAAGAGGATGAGCAGGGCAATGGTGAGGAACCGGAGGGGGGACCAAAGGAGCTGGAGTCGGAGGAGGAGAGAAGAGAGGGGAGGAGGAAGAGAAAGGAGAAGGAGAAGGAGGAAGATGAGGAAAAAAAGGAGAGGAAGGGAGGGAGAGGACGGGGAGAAGCAACGCAACAGTGGAACAACGCGTGGGCAATTTAGAAAAGGGCCCCACTCGCGCCAAAACTGGCCATGAACTGTGCCCGACGCACGTCTTTTGGTGTCGCGGGTGGCCTTAAATGGTGGGGTTCCCCCCAAAATGGAAGAGGGGGAGGAGCGGGACAACGGGGAGGCGGGTGGGGGAGGAGGGTGAAGGGGAAGGAGGAACAGGAGGCAAGGGAGAGGATGGAGAGGATGAAAAGGAGCATTGCCAGGAAGAGTAACTACCCCTGAAAACCCTCCTGAATTACGGAACGGAGAGGAGAAGGCGCAGGAGCAGGAAAACGGGAAGGATGTCGTATTGACTTTGTCGGTGGAAGGGTGGTTGCGGGGGTGGGAGAAGGTGATTTCGTTGGTTGGTTTGTTCTGTTACGTCGGGGCGTTCCAATAAGGAGCAGCATGAGACGGGGAAGGAGACTAAGGGAAGACGGGATGAGGGGCAGGAGGAGAAGGGACGCGGAGGAGGACGAATATGGAGAAGGTTGACGACCAAGGAGGAGAGGGTGATGATGAGGGATACCAGCTGAAATGCGAAACTCGTCAACAATCCTGCAATATACCGTCCCGGCCCAAGTCACCTCGTCATAAGTCATACGTTCGTCTTTACTTCAAGAGGCGCCTCCTTGGAGCGCCTGAGCCCCATCGAACTGCCATTCAAGCGAGAGGCCGACATCAAAGAGAAGATGTACTGCATCATTCAGGCGGCCAAGAAGGACCGCGAAAGGGCATGGTCGCACATTCCAGGTGTGATCCCCGTGGTGCATCAAGACCACCCCCAACAGTGCACCTGCCGCACGAGCTTTCAACTTTGTTGATGGACTCCGAGTGCGCCTGAAGCGAACGCCCCATGTTGACAAGGACCCGCCCTCCATCCGTGCTGCTGTTCGCTACGTCAAAGGTTCTGGGTTAGAACCAAGGAAGTCCCAAACGATCGCCCGGCGTTGAAACGACGACGTCCTCCACCCCTGTAGTAGTTACGCACGCTTGAGACCAGCGCGCGCGGAGCTTAAATCGAGACTCAGTGTCGAAAATAAGCCACCCTCCCTCCACGCGCGTGACTGTTGCAAAACTTACGACGAACGTGCGAACGTGCAAGTCGGTCAGGCGAGGGCCTGATTTGTTGAAAATGGCTATCCCTTTTCGTGTCCCATTTTTGTTCGTCCCCCCCGTTTGGGCCCAGCTAGTGTCGCGACTGTCAGGCAGCGACAATCAAGCCAGGCCCACCCCTGACTGCGCCCCAGGCGTGGGCAACATTGTGGAACTACGGGTCAGTCGGCGAAACCGCGCCTCGAAAACTTGCGAGGCCGTGCCAGGCAAGTCTAGGCGCGCCGAGTGGTGGGCATGCGAAACAGCGTCACACATACAGGCGCGGAGCAGCGAAACTGGAGGAGGGAGAGGACACAGCTGTATAGCGGTTGCAACCCAAGGGGTCATCACGGGAGAAACTGAAATTGTGAACCCATTCGTTTGGCACAAATCTCGCGAAGCCGATGGCAGAACTAGCAGCGACGCAGATCATCGTAGCCCCTGGACGCTTCGACCCCGCATTCGCCGTGAGCACGTCCACAAACGCAACCACTAAGAGCAGTGTGTGTGTTCGAGCACTTGCGCAAAACACCACGCGCGCATATGCGTACAAGGTGGGCATTGGGACAACAAGGTGGGTTATGACGAACAAGGTGGGCGACATTGGGACAGTCAACCTCAGGCAGCCAGTTTCTCGGCCTGCCAGAGTGGCCCATCAGGGGTGATGGGCCGGGGTAGGGGCGGCAGGCAGACGAACGTGGACCTCGCGTTGAACGGCCTCGGGCTTCAGCTCAGAGAGGCGATTAATCACTCCATGGACGAGCTGACACGATTGAAACATGGCGGGAAAGGCAGCGTCGGCACCGCCCTGCGAGGTCAACTGCGCGAGCATGGCGCACAACATTACCATCGAGACCAAGTGCTCGCGTGAGCTCCGTCCAGCAGTCACTGGTGCCAGGGCGCTTGAAAAGCCAGGCGCACACGCGACGCGCAATAGACAGAGCAACAATGACATGCGACTCGACCGGGAACCCGAAGCGACCCGGCAGGATGAGAACGCATGATGCGGGCCACGCGTGACGCGCTTCAACATGTGCTCGTGCACTTGCTTGACACTCGTAATGGGGGGCTCGACCTGCGTCGCGAACTGTCATGCCGAAAGGCACATGGCTCGACGCGCAGCAACGACGATGGCGCCACTGGGAGCCAACTGCCGGAGTCAAGCACAGCGCGCAACCAATTTGGCCAGATGAGCTCTCCAAGCCCAGCCAGCCGCATCAGGGCCGATAGAAAGGCCGAGGCAATGCTTAGCCTCTCCGATCCAACGAGCTCCATCCCTCCACCCCAATGGTCGAACTTCCCTTCCCCCCCCCCCCCCGCAGCCGACCGTGCGACAGCGCGGCGCGCGTGCTAAAGAGCCAGACTCATCGCCTATTCAAGCACGTGGTAGAGGCCCCAAATCGCAGGGAGAGGGCGACGCGCATCGACCATCCCGAACAGGCAGCCAACGGCATAGCGATAACTCGCGCACATCATATTTCAGAACTTCCTGTCGTACTCAGGGGCTCCCGCGGCATCTAGCGCGGAGAAAAAAACACGCGTGCAGGAACAATGGAAAAGCAGCGCAGCCGGTAGAGAATATGGTAGAATTGTCGCAACCAACAAATGTCGCTGGAGCCCCCAGGTCTCGGCCCGCGCAACGCGCGCGAGCATCTGCCCCCCCCATTGGACACTTCTGCAATGGGGCAACAATCAGCTGCGACATTCTGTCGAGTGGCACGCAACACTTGCTAGACAGGAGCTTCGCGTCAGCGTTCGACATGGAGAGCGAACGCGCGCGCGAACACTCGCGACTGAAGTTCCCCCCCCCCCGTGCTGACCCTCTTCCGGTAGGAATGCCATCGGAAGCTCGCCCATGTCTGCCGAAAACGACTGAACACCACTGTGCGTAATCTCGAGGTAGCGGCCGCAGCGATGGCGCGGGGCGTCTCCTACGCGCCGGCGTGTATAGGGAACGCCGCCGGGCCCAGGCACCCAGCAACGAGGCGACTGCACCGCCTGAACGAAATTGCCAGATCCCTCTCCCCGAGCAACGCCCGAGTCAGATTCTCTGGGCACAGAGTGAACCTGAGCGAGAATTCTAGACCAGCGAGATCGACCCCCTGGAACCGCCGAAACAACATGCCCCCAGTAGCTAGCGAGCTCGTTGGCACCCGCAGCAAGCGAGGCACGCGTCTGGCCACGCTGACGCAGCACGGCTGCAAGACAAGCGCGACGCCTGAACTTCCCCCACAACTCCTGTTCCCGACAAAACTTGCCCGGGGCACACCTGTTCGCGTTCTCGGACATGCTCATCCCCGCGCGCCTGCTCCACCCCCTCATTCAACAGCTGCGCGCGCAGCGCTTGCGCGAGCCGGCGGTGCCCAGCCAGGTCGTAGAAGACCAACGTATCAATGTCAACGCAACTGCTGCAACGGCGGGCGGCGGGCGCGGGCGCGAGCGACGAGGCGGCCCTGCCGCGCTCTGATGCCACGCAAAGCGGCCATGCAAAAATGGCGCTGCTCGCGCATGATCTCCGCGAGCGGGCTCGCCGACGACGGCCCCGAGGCGTCGTTTGATACGCGGTGCGTGTACTGAGCTGATAGCAGCGGCAGCGTCGAAGGAATCGAGCTCGGCGGGCCACCTTCCGACTTCATTCTCCACCGTCTCACAGCGCAGCTCATTCTTGCCTGGCGAATTGGGACGATGGCCGAGGCCCCTGATCGAGGGCGGAGCGAATGAATCAGCGCGAGCATGGGCGTGAGATCAGGCGCGCGAGCGAGACGCAACTCGCGAATAACCGCGATCTGACTCGCAAGATCCGCAGCGACTGAACGGGCAGGGAGGAGGCGATGCGCTCGAATCTAGGCGCGCGAGCAATGCCCCCGAAGCGAATCTCGCGGCGCGCGTCGTCAGCCGCCCCCCCCCCAAAAAAAAAAAACTCCATCCAGCCGCGACGCCGACACCTCTGATTTCATTGCCCGCGGTGTCGCGAACATCCTGCCGACCGCCAATCCCCATCATGACGCGCCCCCTTCTTCCTCGAGGGCGGAGTTCCAGTCCCCCCGTATAATCGAGCAGCGTTGTTCAGCAGGCGGAAGGGCGCCCCATGGCTCGCCAATCGAATCAGCAGAGACTTGTAGCGAAGCGCATCTATACGGCCCGCGCGCACTCACGCTGGCGAGGATCCCCCTGCCAGTCACGAGACTCACGGGCCCCCCCCCCCCCCCCCCCCCCCCCCCCCCCCCCCCCCCCCCCCCCATGCCCTCCACGACGTGGCGCGACGTGGGCGGGAACTGTTGGACCAGCCCATGACAGAGACTGGTGGCAATGCCGCCAGCACAGGCAGAGTGCGCGAACACGGTGCCACCTTCGCTGGAGCCGCGGAATGCCCCTTGAAGCACGGCGAGGTCCGCGATCTGTCCATGCGTCTCCTGGGCACAGACAGCTTGCAATTTGCGGCACATGCCAATGAACTTGCAAAATCTGGAGGCTGCGTTCCATCGCCGCCCCATTCGGACAGAAACGCAAATACTCGTCGCTTTCCACGAGGCCACGCAGAGCGCGGAGGAGGGAATCACAGGCTGCTGGTACACTGCATTAAGGCTGACATGCAGAGGCGGTGGCGAACCGCAGTCGCGCGGTTCGAAAGTAAACGGCGCAGGACACGCATCCTAGGCAGGGTCAGAGGAAGGAGGAGACGAGACCGCCAAAGAAGACGTGCAACTTGAATTGGGCGTCTTCGAGTTAGCACGCGACGGCGTGGACTGCAACCAAGGGGGCGATGTACACAGTGTCGTAGCAGAGCATGTGCCGCCAGCTGCCATCCCTGAGCAAGCCGACGACGTTATAGCTGGTCGCGTGGCCCGTCATTCACGACAGGAGCCATCCCACGTGGCCCACGTTTGAATGACATCCTTGGCGACCCCCTAGTAGCATAAGTCACCCTCGTTTGGCTTGAGTGCGAGATGCCCCAGCGCATCCACTTCCCCTTTGGCAAATGAAGAATGAAGAACTCGCCGAGGAAGTTGCGGAAGCTATTGGCGTCAATCGTCAGCGACGCCTGGAACTTCTTGATGCTGCGCAGATGCTGAACCACTGGGCTCCACATCTTGGACATGAACCGCTGGCGCTGGCGAGCATCATCAAAAAGGTCCTGCCGAACGCGAAAGCCGTAAGTCTTGTTGCTACTGTCGTCGGCCCACTTCAACTCCTGCGCGATGAACCAGTTCTTGAATTCCGTTGCGAGCTCGACTGTGGCGGCGTGGACGGACAAGCTCCGGCTGGCCTTGGCGAACTTGGCGTCCGTGCCCAAGAGTAGATGCTCCATCGGTCCCCAGGTTCGGCGGCGAGTCACATCAAGAATATCAAGCGGGTAGCCAGATATACAAGCGCGACAACGGTCAACGTGTTCAGCTTTTGCAGTGGCACCCCCTTTGGTGCGAGGGCGTTTCAAGCTCGCAGCAGAGGAGGGAACCGACGTCGCCGCTTGCTAGATCTGCCTCTCAGTCTTCTCTTGCTTAGCCTGCTGATCTTCGAACCGCACCTCGAGAGCGACGATCCACCCGTCGATGGCCCTGAACTGGTTGGAGAGCGTTGTTGTGGTCTCCTCCACCCGCGAGGACAAGTTGGCGAAACCATCTTCATAAAAGGAAGTGAACCACGCCACGCTGGAGCACCACAGGGCGAGA